TGGTCATACTCTGGACATGTTGTGAAGAGGGAGCAGTTCCTGGAGAAGGACATCATGCTTGGTAAAGCGGAGGGACAACGAAAAAGAGGAAGGCCTTTAATGGGATAGATTGACACAGTGGCAGCATCCGTGGGCTCAAATAGAACAAAAATTGTGAGGATAGCACAGAACCAGGCAGTGTTTCTTTCTGTTGTACATAGGGTCACTATGAGATGGACCAACTGACAACACCTATCAGCAACAGCCTTCAGATAGACGTCAGCATTGGTCTATCTGAGAGAAACCTCTTTTAGCCTTTCAGATGGGATCAGGTCCCCTTTGCCTTCTTTGTTATAGTCTCTCCGGCCACTCTAAAAGCACACAGTTGATACTGGGATCTTCTGATGAATTTCTTTACCCTGATCAGACTGTCAGCTCCTGAGGACAGGGACCCATCAGCTTGCTCTCAGATATGTCAGCTCCTGGCCCTAAGGTCTAGCACAAATGTGCACTAGATATTTCTCAGATGAACAGGTATTTAATGGATGGATGGATGGGTGGGTGGGCCAAGCCTGGAATGGCCATTTATCTCATCCCCCAACCCACCCAGGTCCCTAGTAGCAGGTGTCTAAAACCAGCTCTGACTTAATTCTATGATTTCAAGTCCCTTCTCATCTGACTCTCAGTTTCCTTATGAGGAGATGCAATTGGAACTGCTTTGTCCAATACAATAGCTGTTAATCACATTTGGCTATTGAGCATCTGATACACATTTTATATGAATGAGGAAATAATTGAATTTTTCCAACTCAATTTTAAATTTTAAAACATACTCAATGTAGTTATTAGAAAACTCTCGCATGTTTGGGACAAATTGAGTATATGAATCTACTTTTCTCAGCTATAAATTTCATAAACTCTAAATACAGATCTAGTCAAGCATCTTAATAGAGATTGCTGTTGGTATAAAATGGACTCTGGATTTTGAGGGCATAGTATGAAAAGTAAAGTATAATTATGATAAATTTTATAGTATAGGTTAAAATGTTAATATTTTTTATATATTAGTTTAAATAAAATATACAAGGGAGCTTCAAAAAGCCCATGGAAAATAGAATGAAAAGATAATGGAAAGTCCTGGATAGAATGGGAGAAAAATGTGGAATGAAACTAAAAATCATTGTAAAAAAAGACTAGGCTTACTGGTCAGCTAGAAACTGACAGACTGTCCGACTCTGGCCCTCCTCCGCCTTCAGGTCTGGGACTGAACTCACCCCTGTGGCTCAAGTTTTGGCCAAGCAGAGTACATAGTTATCCAGAGAGAACAACAACACTAGTGAGATACACAGCGCATAGAACGGTCAACCAGTCTAGATCAAAAGGGTAACATTTACCCAAGTACAAAATTCAGAAGTGATGTTACACGGAGGAAATAGCAATTAAGATGAAACAAAGTGTGTGATTTGTTGAGTAAGACTTCACTCAATTCACAATAAAAATTTTAAATTAAAAAAAAAGACATTTTCCCATAAACTTTTTGAAGTTCCTTTTGTAGTGTTGTTGTTGTTGTTAAGTGCCGTCAAGTTGGTTCTGACCCATAGCGACCCTGTATAGGGTTTCCAAGGAGCGACTGGTGAGCTTGACCCACCAACCTTGTAGTTCAAGCAGCTATGCAGTCTGGCGCATTATAAATAAATGTATAGGACATGGGGAGTTCTGGTGTGGCACTGCAGGTTAATGCACTCGACCCCAAGGTCGGTTTGAGCTGCAAGGTTGGTGGTTCAAACTCACCAGCTGCTCCTTGGAAACCCTCTATAGCATCGCTATAAATCAGAACTCACTCGATGGCACTTAACAACAACATAGACACATGATTACTAGGAATGGAAGGGAGAAGGTAGGGGGAGTCATTGCTTAGAGGACACTGAGGGGGAACAACTTAGAAAAGGATATTGGTAATGACTGTACAACATGGGTAGAATAGTGGTTACAAGTTAGGCTGCCAACCTCAGGGTCAGCAGTTCGAATCTACTAATGGTTCTGCAGGAGAAAGATGAGGCATTTTGCTCCCGTAAAGACTTATAGCTTTGGAAACCCTGTGCAGGGTCACTATGAGTCAGAACCGACTCCACGGTATTTAACAACAACAACGTACAACATGATGAACATAATGTAGCTGAATTATACATGTAAAAATTGATGGATTAGAAAATGTTTTGTTATATATGAGAGGACTTCAAAAAATTCATGGAAAAATTCCATTATCTTTTAATCCCATTTTTCCATGAACTTTCTGAAGTCCCCTTGTATATGTATTTTAAGGAACCCTGGTAGTGGGTTACGCGTTGGGCTAACTGCAAGGATAGTAGTTCAAATCCATCAGCCACTCTGCAAGAGAAAATGAGGCTTGCACTTCCATGAAGATTTACAGCCTTGGAAAATCTATACAGTGTCACTATAAATCAGAATCGACTCGATGGCACACAGCCACCACCACAGACATTTTACCACAAAAAAATTATTTTTCATCCATTTCTTTTTACTTTTTTTAATGTCACCACTACAAAAATTGATACTATACATGTGCCTCACAGGAGCCCCTCAGTGGAACCGAGCTTAAGCATGTGACTTCCTGGTGCAGTGGTGTAGGATCAACACTGGACTACTATCCACAAGATTGGTGGTTCAAACCCACCAGTCATTCCTTAGAAATCTACAAAGGGTTGCCATGAGTCCGAACTGACTTGACGGCACTAAACAACTAACCCAAAAGTTGGCAGTTCAGAGCCACCCAGAGGTGTCCCAGATGTCAATCTGCTTCCACTGAAGTATGCATGTAGATTGATGAAATTGGTGTGTTATCCTGCATGTATTCTCAACAACAATATTAATTTTTTTTTTTTTAAGGCTAATTCCATACCCTTGAAAACTTTATGGAATACAGTTCTACCATGCAGCACGTGGGGTTACCATGAGTCAACGTTAACTCCATGGCAACTGGTTTTATATAGCTTACACTGCATTTATATTAGCTCATGGAGGGCCAGGAAGGGCTTTGTAGTCAAAGAGACCTGGTTTGAATCCCAACCCAGCCACTTTATAACTGTGACTTTGAGCAAGTCGCTTTTCCCTTTGCGCCTTAGCTTCCTCATCTGTGATATGGAGACAATTGTACCTATCATATAGGATCCAATGAGAAAAACATAATATGCAATGTTTAACACAGTGCCTGGCAGAAAGTAAGTGCTCTTTAAACGTCAACTATTCATGTTGTCATTGTGACTTTCTGGGCAATGCCAGCAAGTAGGAAGTTAGAAGTTGGCTTGAACACATCCACGCAGCACATTACAGCTTCCAAAGCACATTCCAGCCATCCTCTAGTCTGCAGGAAAGAGGTCTATGATGGTTTTAAAATGTGTCCACAAATTCTTTGACATCTGTCTCTGTAAGAGGTGAAGTCTAGTTTTACTCCCTGTGAATGTGAGCTGGACTGAGTGTCCTGCTTCTATCAAATAAAACATAGCAAAGTGACAGCATGTGGCATCCAAGACTTCTAAAGAGTCACTGCTGGCTTCCACCTTGCTCTCTCTTGGATCACTCACTGAGGGAAATCTATGTCATGGAGACACTCAAGCAGCTCTATGGTTAGGTCCACGTGACACGGAACTGAAGTCTCCTGCCAACAGCCATGTAAGTGAGATTTCTTAGACGTGGCCCCTCCAACCCCAATGGAGCCTTCAGATGACTTTAGATGACTTCTGGACTGCAACTTAACAACCCTGAGGAAAGAATGACCCAGGTAGCCCTTCTAGAATCCCTGCCCCACCATATTAGAGAGATAATACCTGTTTGTTGTTTTAAGCTGCAACATTTTGGAAAATATGTTACATGATGGAGCCCCAAGTTGTGTGAGCTGAAAAACTGGTGGTTGGAGTCTACCCCCAGGGACGTGAAAGAAAAGCCTAGTGATCTGCTTCTGAAATTTCGTTTCTGAAGACCCTATGGGATGGAGTCCTACTCTGACACACTCCGGGTGGCCATGAGTTGGAATTCACTTGACAGCAACTATTTGGCTGGTTATGTCATGTGACAACAGATAACTAACATACTCTTTTTCTGGCTCTGTGGCTAAGGGCCTGCTCTTCTCCAGGGAAAGACACCCCAATCCCAGGTCTGGTCTATCTTAAAGTTGTGGGGGCCACGGCAGGGACCGAAGGCTATGGCACAAACCACAAACACTTGGCCCAGTGCTCTGTGCATTCACAGGCTATTTATTTATCCAAGAGTAAGGAGGACGAGATCAAGAGAAAAACAGATGCCCCAAGGTGGTGGGGCTGAAGGAAAAAAAGAACAGAAAGGCTCCTCCTCTTTCTCTTGCCGCTGACTCCAGGGGACCCCGGCTTCAGAGGGGGCCTCTGGGAGGCCCGGCAGCTGTTGGCTGGGGTCAGGATCCCCACAGGGGTAGGTCCCAGACTCGGAATGGCTTCGGTATACACAAAATATCTCTCTGAAAAAGGCACTGTTGGGGAGGGGGACAGCAAGGAGGCTACCCCGTCACAGGTCAGAGGGCAAAGGGCCACTGTGTCCTGGGTCTGGATCCCGGTTCCTGAGACCGTCCCTCAGGGGCTGGGTGCGGCTCTTGTTCCTCTCTTCTTTCCTTCAGCTAAGCGGTGAGCAGGCAGTCGGTGGAGGGCCAGGTCAGGCCATGTGGGGCACACCGCTTTGCAAGGCTGGTGCATCTGTCGACCTCTAGGCCAAGAGTCCCAGGCGGGTGACTTTGGCAGAGAGGAAGGAGTGGATGATGAAGACCATGGTTTTGGGACATGAGTGAAGGTCCAGCTGCTGCAGAGTGGACAGAGAGAAGGTTAGGGACTCTGGCCAGCTTGGTCGCCAAGAAAATGCAGCCTCCCTTCCCACGGCCTGGAGGCCACCTCCACTCACAATCTCGCCCTCAGCACCCCCGAAGTCCAAGAAAAGAAGACTGGAGCCATCATCCGAAGACATCTGCAGCTTCTCAAAGGGCTGCCGGAGCAGCACTGCTCGGGCCGCTCCTGGCTCCGCCGCCCACAGTGTAAAGCCCTTGTCAATATGCACAGAGAGGCTGCAGGGGCGGCTGTTCCACGTGCAGGCTGTAGGGAGAGCACCTCAGAGACCCCAAGTCCCACCTCCCACCCCTCACTGGCAACTCCACAGAGTGGGGGCTTCAGTATCACCAGAGATGAGGGACTCACTCTCTGTTCATGATCTTTGCAGACCCACCAGCATAGAGACCCCTTCCCTGAAATTCCAAAAGAAGACCCTCAGAGAACCACACCCCTCTTCAGTCCCACATCCAGCAGCAGGCAAGTGTGGAAAGAAGATGCTTAAAACTCTGCTATGGCAGGGGTGTCTACTCCCCGGAATGGCATCAGCATGCGGCCCACTGAGCACTGCCAGCTTTAGCAAATACAAATTCAGGACACCCAGGTAAATCTGGATTTCAAATAAACAAAATATTTAGAATGATTGAGAAATTATTGAGAAATATTAATACTAAAGAAACACGGATTACTTACCTGAAATTCAAACTTAACCATGTATCTCATTTTACATCTAGCAACGCTACCCCAAGGGCCATTTCTAACATCCTCAGCAGCAGAATTCAAAACCCGGGGAAGGAAGCACAGGGCTGTCAGTGACCCCCAAACCTCACCGCATGCCCACTCCTGAATTGCACTAAAGAAAAGCCACCCCCAGACACACCCAGCCTACCTGTAGATACCTCCTGTACACCCTCAGCAGCCCGGTGACAACCATCCACTAGCTGACGGGTCCAGGCAGCCAGCTCCTGTGGTGTCTCCACGCTGAACAGCTGAGTATCCACCCCGTGGCGTGTGCCAGTACGCAGGACAAAAGAGAGCTCTGCATCGTAGGGCACGGAACCCTTGGAGGGGCCTGAGTGCACCAGCCTGGGGAGGGGCGGGGCGGGGGCAGGTAGAGGGCTAGGTGTAAGGCCTCAGATAGAGAGAGGAGACAGCACTGAGCGAAGTGGGGGTGACTTAAGGAAGGACCCCATAAACACTTCATGTCCTAATGGGGACAGGACTTCAAGTGGGCACCTAGTGCCTCAGTAGAAGTCACCACTAACATCTTCTCCTCTCCCTCTGGCTCCCTCTACTGGGCTGCCTATTCCTGCTGCAGTGCCTTTGCACATGCTCACTCCTTTACTTCCTTCAGACCTTTACTCAGATGTCACCTCCTCTGAGAAGCCCTCCCTGGCCTCCTTATCTAAAATAGCACCCATAACTCAACTAGCATTATCTTGCCTCAGGACTTCAGAAATTGTACTTTTTCTCAGTTGGTTTTTAAATGTCAGCTATGGTAGAAATGGAGTCCTGGTGTGGCACTGTGGGTTAAGGCACTGGACTGAAAAGTCATCTGAACCACAAGGTCAGCGGTTCAAGCTCATCAGCTGCTCCTCGGAAACCATATACAGGGTCGCTATGGGTCGGATCTGACTTGACGGCACTTAACAACAACAACAGTGGTAGAAATGGAATCCTGGTGTGGCACTGTGGAATAAAGCACTGGACCACAAGGTGAATTTAAAATACAAGATCGGCGGTTCAAATTCACCAGCTGCTCCACAGAAACCCTATACAGGGTCACTATGAGTCAGAACTGACTCATAGACACTTAACAACAACAAATGGTAGTGATTGTCTGCTTTGTTCACCAATGCATCCCCAGAAACCAGAACATAGGTGCTCAATAAACGCTGTGGCCTGAATTAATGAGTCACCTGATTAAGTAGGCAATCCATGACCTAGTAGCCAGGAGACTTGGTGTGTTTGAGGTCCTGAACCCAGCCTGAGGGTAACAAAGTACCCAGACCCTACAGCTTGACACCCATTTGCTGTGTGAACTTTAGCAGCTCACTGCCCATCTCTGGGCAGCAGGCTTCAGAGTTCTTAAATAACCATCTTTGTTTTTCATTCCACACACTCTCCCTCCTGTTGTCTCAGTTCTTCCTTGGAGCTCCTACTGGCACCCTGTCTGTGTCCCACTTCCCAGTCCTGAGCTGCAGACCCTTGAGTCCCCAAGCTTCCTATCCAAGTCCTTAACATTCCGCCCTGGACTTTGGACTCAACTCAGCATCTTGCTCCCTTTGTACCCCCTCCCTCAACTGTCATACTTCCCACCCAGGCACAAGCTCCAAACCTCCCGTTCATCTCTTCTTTATCCCCATGTCTCCCTCACCTCTTCATCTGGCAAGCAGCAAATCCTGTTAATTTTACCACCCATGTGTCTTCCAATGCAAATGTAGCTTTTCTTCCCCATCTGCTACTTCCAACCACCCCCACTTCCCCCCACTTGCCTCCCAGCTTTCATCCTGCTCCAGCACATTCTCTACCTGGCAGGCAGCCACAGAGGAATTCTTTTAAAACCCAACAGGAGTCACCTCACTCCCCAACCCACCCTACTTAAACGTTTCAATTCTTTACCGGAGATCTTGAGATAAAGCTACATTCCTTAGCCAGGCAATCAAGACCCTATAAGATCAGGCCATTCCTCTGCCAACTTCCTGTCTCATTTCTTTCCATTTCCTGCATGGATTCTACATACTGCTAATACCACACTCACAGCTCCATGCATATGCTATATAGCCCTTCATGCCTCATTGCCTTTGCACATGTTGTCTCTGCCTGACATGCTCTTCCACCCTTTCTTAAGTAGCAAACTTCTCCTCATCCATCAAAGTACCGATCAAATGTCACCTCCTCCCTGAAGCCTTCCTCAAGCAGGCCAGATAGAGTTAAGTGGTTTCCTACAAGCCTCCACTATTGCTGGGCCTCTCTTCCCTACCAGACTGGGTGTTCCCTGAGGGCAGGGACTCTTGGGATCAGAGTTGAGCACAGAGTAGGTATCAATGAATGAGTGTCTAGTGGAACCTCATGTCCTTCTTTTCTAAACTCTTATTTGACAGATGAGGAAACCAAGGTCCAGATAGGGCAGGGACGTGTGCTTCAAGTTTCCTGGAGACTAACTCAGGGGAAGAACTGGGTTAAAGTCCCCAGCTTCTGAAGCCCATCTGGAACATCCCCCTCATGCTCTGGGTGAGCCCCCCCCCCACCCTGCCTGTGGATACCTGGTGGCGATGAGTGGAGCGGTACGGGCTGGCCGGCTGAGGGCCTCACGGGTCTGGGGAAGACAGGAGTAGAGAAGCAGCTCCTTGTCAGTCAGCAGGGCTAGGGTGGGCGCTGTGCTCCCACTGGGCAGCTGCAGGGGGGGAAGGTGGCAGTGAGGAGGGGCAGGGAGCGGTCAGAGAGGAGGCGGGAGGAAAAGAGAGAGAGAGGGGTCCCAGCCCCACCAGGTACCTGTTCAGTCAGCCAACCGATCTGTTTGATGCCCTGGTTCCCAGCTGGGCTGGTGGCTGCCAGCAGTGCCTGCAGCTCATCCTTGACCCAGGGCATCAGAGTGTTGCTCTGGGCTTGGATGGCCGCTGCCCACGACCTTGCGCTAGCCTCATCCTTGGCCCTCAGAAAGAGAGTGTCTTGCCCATCAGCCGCGCAGATCTCCAGATACCTGCAGGCACAAATACAGGTGAGAGGGAGGACCTGCCCACTGGGCTGTAGCTGCCCCACCCTGAAATCTGGCCCAAGAAACCCGCCCCACCTGAAGCTAGAAGGGTCATCTATGAGAGAGAGGATCAGGCCCAATGGGGACTCCAACCACAGTTGATGGAGCCTTATTAGGTCTAGGAACAAGAGACTATAACACACACACACATATAAACAAATACACACAGATACTAAGTATGTGTGATAATTCCCTATGTGAGAAATCATAATCTTGCCCTTTTTTCCTGGCTCCTAAGGGGAAGGCTTCTTTTGCTGGGCTAGCTCTGAGGTTCACAGAACCAAAGTACTGAACTAATTGGGAAAAGAAAACAAAAACTCAAGTAGTTTGAGAGGTCAAGTGGTGTACACCGTAAAGAACTGAGGGAGTAGAGTATGAAGAAGGGAAAAAGAGAGACAAAACAGTCAGGCAGGTGAATATGAGGGACGAGTTGCAGGTTAAGTACCAAGATAAGTGGTGACAGAGAAAGATGATTTTCAAAATGTTTTGTGGGCATTAAAGATTTATTCCCCTCTGGCATTACTGTAAGAGATGGAATGTGACAGAGGATGATAGCGTAGTATCCATTCCAACCCCTTCACTTTTACCTGCCTGGACAACAGAACCAGAAAGCAAAATACTTCAATTCCCAGCCTCCCTTGCAGCTAGAGCTGGCCATTTGAGATAGAGAAGTCTCTTCTCTATGGAAAATGTGTCCCTGTCTAATGAAAGGCAGATCTTTTCTAACATGGTAGTCTCCAAAGATGATGATGTTGTTGTTAAGTGCCACCGAGTTGGTTCTGACTCACAGCAACCCTGTACCGGGTTTCTGAAGAGCAGCTGGAGGGTTTGAACTGCCGACCTTGTGGTTTGCAATCCAGTGCCAATCCTACAGCACCACACCAGGAGTCTCCAAAGACGGCCTCCACTAAATCTGTCTTTCCATGTATGCATAGTCACTTTTCTTATCAAGAAATGGAACCTTTTTCTCCTCGCCTTGCATCCAGCTTGGCCTTGTGAGTTGCTTTGACAACCAGACTGTGGCAGAAATGACATTCTGGGCCTCGGAAACCCTGTACAGGGTCACTATGAGTCGGAACCAACTCCACGACATATAATAACCACCACCACCACCATATAAGAAGTCTGGAGAGGGCAGTGGCTCCATACAATATGCACTGGACTGCAAACCACAACTTAACAGTAACAGCAACACACAAGAAGCCCAGCACATCATGTTTGCAGGTCATCATGAGGGTCAGCGAAAACCAGGGAAGCCATCAGTGAGATGGACTGGCACGATGGATTCAAGCCTGCCAGCAATCATGCAGATGGTTCAGGACTGGACATTTCATTCTGTTATGCAGAAGATTGCAGTAAGCCTGAGCCAACTCCCTGGCAACAAACAACAACATCTAAGAAGTGTAGCTACCCTGAGAGATCATCATACTGAGGAAGAACAAGCTAACCCTGTGAAAAGGTCACATGGAAAGAAGAATAGTCAGGCCATCCTTACCGTCCCAGCTATGATGCCAAGTAAGTGGATGAAGCAGGCCTCTTGGACTTCCAGTCCCAGCAGGCACTACATGGTATAGAGTTGGCCAGCAAAGCCAGCCAGAAAGAAAAGCTGATATATCATAGTTATTTTCTAAGACACTAAACTGACTACAAAGTTGGTTTGAACCACAAGGTTGGCAGTTCAAACTCACCAGTCGCTCCTTGGAAACCCTATACAAGGTCGTTATGGGTCGGAACCGACTCAACAACAACAAAACTGGCTCTCCATAAGATAAACACTGGACTGAGAACCACAAGGTGCAAGAAAGATGAGGCTTTCTGCTCCTGCAAAGATTTAAAAAGCCTCAGAAACCCTACACAGGTTTGCTATGAGTCAGAACCAATTTGAAGGCATTTAACAAGTTTTAGGATGGTGTGTTGTGCAACAGTGATGGTGGTGGTGGTTGTGTCCCATCGAGTCAATTCCTACTCATAGCAACCCTGTATAGGGTTTCCAAGGCTGTAAATCTTTAAGGAAGCAGAAAGCCTCATCTTCCTCCCACAGTGCAATTGGTAGATTCAAACTGCTGACCATCCAGTTAGCAGCCCAACTCATAGCCCACTATGCGACCAGGGTTCCTTTACACAACAGTTGTTATTGTTGTTAAGTGCCATTGAGTCAGTTCTGACGCATAGCAATCCTATAGAGGGTTATCTAGACTTTAAATCTTCACAGGAGCCAAAAGCCTTATCTTTATCCCACTCTGCAACAGTTGTTGTTAAGTGCCAACGAGTCGGTTCCGACTCATAGCGACCCTGTATAGGGTTTCCAAGGAGCAGCTTGTAGGTTTGAAGCGCTGACCTGTGGTTTGCAGGTCCAGTGTTGATTCTACAGAGCCACACCAGAAGTCCTATGAAGCAGTAGATAGTTAAAATACTCAAAATCCCTTTGCCTTTGGTTTCTAGCTGTCTGAAGTATACTTGGAGATTCAACTCGCATCGTGTATCCATGAAGAACTGAAATCCACACAAACATGGCAGACAAGGAAGCTAGAAGCCTGGTTCTTTGATGACATCTTTGAGCAGCAGAATGCTCCATACAAATAACCCTGGACTTGTTTTTAAATGTGGAGAAATAAGCCTCTTATTTATTTAAACCATTGCTTGCTGAGGTGTCTGATATTTGCAGCCCAAAGCAATCCTAACACTGAGTAAAAGTTTGAAATACTTTTTATTACATACTGTATTCATTTGACCGGGGTATTGGGTTGACAGCAGGCCACACAGAACCTTGGTTATATTCAGGTTACACATGTGTGTACATGTTTAAATATACGTGTATGTATACATGTGCACATATACATACAAGTGCTAACATACGAATACACATGTGCACAAATCTATAGCATTCACATATACATGCTCTCACACACACACTATATTTAAATGTCATCGACGGATGCACACACATAGAAATGCATGTACACACATGATTCAACTGACATCTGGAATCAGACTAGAAACTGTGAGGAGCCTAAAGCCCCTTCAGGAGAGCATCTATAAGGGGCTGTGAATCACTAGTTAATGCCTCAGGGAGACAGAATGGGCAGGAGGCTTGGATGCTGAGCATTAACCAACCTTCCCAGTCAATGTTGGGCCGAGGCACACACCATATACACGCCAGCCCCATCACAGCAACCTATATCCCACTCAGCCACGACCATCACTTTGGCACGCTGCACATTCTAAAGCAGGAAAAGCCACAAGGAATGGGGTAGGTTTCACCCGGCCTGGTTATGTGACCTTGGACAAGTTACTCCTCTCTCAGCCTGTGTCCTCATCTATAAACTGGGGGTGCAATAACGGGACATTGTCACAGGGTTGCTATGAGAATTTAAATGAAATTGTGCACAGAAAGCACTGAGCACCCAGTTATTGTTGCTAGTTGCCATCAAGTTGATTCCGGCTTGTGGTGATCCCACGTGTACAGAGTAGAACTCCTCCATGGAGGTTTCAAGTCTGTGACCTTTCAGAAGTGTATTCCCAGGCCTGTATTCTAAGGCACCTCTGGGTGAGTTCTAGCCGTCACTGAGTAGCAACCATTTGCCCAACCAAGAAACTCCTGGTGTCAACCTTATTATGCATGAACTGTTGAGGGCTGCTCAAAGGTGAGGCATGGTAACGTTCCACAGCACAATACAAATGTAATCAGACATCTCAGAGCCTCACTTAAAGTAGCAGAAGACTTTCTAGGACTATGGCTAGAGTCACAATAGGGAATCTAAAGTTTAATAGGAAAAGGGACAAATCCAAGGAGAATCAGGACTGAGACCCAGGTGCCAACTTCCTAGTAGAAGAAGACATACGCAGCCCAGACCATCATTCTCGTAACTGCGATCGTTCAGCAAACATACTCTGTTCTGGCACTGTGCTGGTCACTTGCAACATGGAACTATCTTTCCTTTGGCCCCATAGCCGGATTCCAGGGCATCTGTCTTTCTGAGTTGCTCCTCCTCCCTCTCCCCGTCCCAGTCTTACCTGGGCTCTGGGTCAGTGGGGGTGCACCTCCTGGAGACATAGGCCATCTTCAAGGATATGTGTTTGGCATCAGTGAGGTCCCGGAGTGGGGGGCCAGGGGAGGCAGGCTGCCGCTGAAGGGGTGAGGCAGGAGGCGAGTCCCAGCCAACCGAGGTCCCGCCAGCAGAATTCTTAAAATACGGTGAGACTTCCTTCATGTATCTGACTGCTCAGGGGAGAGGTCAGGAGTTACCAGTGTGACATGGGCTCCCATGTAGCCCACATCCCAATTTGTTACTCATTTATTAAGAGTTTACATCCAATGTCACTACCTTCCTCCAGGCTAAAATTTCTGACAGGACAGTGTGAGAGAAAATAGGAGAAGCCTGTCAACATCCATTCTCTCACTCTCCCACTGGTTTGTAGACACGTGTCCACCTGGAAGAAAGACTATAGTTCCCGGCTTCCATTGCAGCAAGGGCTGGCCACGTGACTAATTTCTAACCAATCAAGTGGAAGTTTTGTTTGGGTATTCCTCTTTTCCTCTCCTCCAGCCTTTAGAAGTGGGAGAAGACTTGGTCCTAAAGCAATAGCCATCTTTTGACCACAAGAGTCGGAGTCAACACACTGTTGATGGGAAAACAGAAAGATTTATAGACCTGGATCTCTGATGATACCATGAACCCCTAAACTAGCCTACCTTCAAGCCAGTCTGCCTCAAGACTTTTCATTCTAGAAGATACCACATTTTCTTCAATGTTTAAGGCTTTTTAAAAGGGGTTTCTGTTACTTACAGTCAAAAGCATCCTAATACCACACCCTTATGCAGTATAAGGAGTCCTGGTGTGGCACTGTGGGTTTGAACCACAAGGTTGGTGGTTCAAGCTCACTAGCTGCTCCTCGGAAACCCTACACAAGGTCGCTATGAGTCAGAACTAACTTGATGGCACTTAACAACAGCAACATGCAGAATAAGGGACACTACTTATTAAGATCCTAAAAGGCACATGAACCCTTGACCCAACAATCATTCCTGAAACCATGTTTCAGATCAATGAAGATAGCCCCACAGCTTTGTAAGTAATACATTGTCCCGTTAACACAGGAGATCCTGGCTCCCTTTAAGAAGACTGCCCTGATTTCACAGCCTGGATCCCTGACTCAGCTCAAATCCCTGCTCTGGTTCCTCAGCATCTTTTACCTGACTTTTAAGACCCTTAAGGACTTGGGCCCTGCCTACCTCTCTGGTTTCACTTCCCACCACACTAATCCAATCCTACTGACATACTCAGAGTTCTCAGAAGCTGTATGAGCTTCCAAATGGCCACACTTTTGAAACTACTGTCCCCTCTGCATGGAATGTTCTTAGTATACAGCTTGGAGTCAGTCACTCTTAGATTTGCATTCCAGCTCTAATACTTTATAGCTGTGTGCCCGTGAACAAGGTAATTCGCCTCACTGGGCCTCAGTCTGCTAGTTGATAAAAAAAAAATAATTATAATATCTAGCTCAGAAGATATTAGAAGAGTCCAGGGGTGGTACTGTAGGATAAAGCACTGGACCACAAGGTTGACTTGAACCACAGGGTTAATGGTTCAAACCCACCAGCTGCTCCTCGGAAACCTTATACATAGTTGCTATGATTCAACTGACTCAACGGCACTTAACAAGTTTAGAAGGTGTTAGGATTGTGACGTGGTACATAGTGAGGACTTCAGGAGTATGAGTTTCTCGCCTCTCAACTTCCCCTGCCACACTTCTTGGAGCTCAGCTGTGATCGTGTGTGCCCAAGGCTGTCTCCCCATGAAACGGAGAGCTCCTGTTGTTAAGTGCTGTAGAGTCAGTTCTGACTCAAAGAGTCCCTGCAAAGGGTTTCCAAGGAGTGGCTGGTGAATTTGAACTGCTAACCTTGTGGTTCAAACTGACCTTGGGATCCAGTGCATTATCCCACAGTGCCATGCCAATATGAGCTCCTAGAGGGCAGAAATTGGGCTTGATCTGAGACCAGAGCTGGTATTCAGTGAGTACAGAAACACATGCCAGGGCAGAGCAGGCTCTTTCCGCAAGAAGAGAATGTACCAGCCCAGGAAGTCCTGGGTCAGCACAGATCTCACCCACTCTAGGAAGGCTTCCCTGATGCCCAGCCTGGATCCATCACCTCTAGTCCTCTGGGCCCCCACCCCTGTGATTATCTGTATCTAGCTCTGGGTCTCTTACCAGGCAAGGAGCACTGGGAGGGAAGGGACCTCATCTGACTCATCTCTTTGTCCCCAGAATCTAGTGGGGGGCCTTGTCTGCTACACGCTCAACAAGGGAACACTGGCCAACTCTGAAGTCCAATAAACTGCTGGAGCCCCTGCTCACTCAGGCTGTCCCAGAGCTGACTCCTCCTTCTTTCCCACAGAAACAGGCTATAAATGGACAGGACACTAGCTGGTGCCTGAAACAGGGCTGGGATTTCACAAACCTAGCAGTCTGTTCCAGAGTCAGGGTGGAGGCCAGGGGGTCCCAGAGTCTGGCCATAAATAGCCCAGCTCTGAGGCTTCCTCCCAGCTCTGATTTCTGTCTGAGTCACCTGACCAGGCAGGGTAGGGCTGGCCAATGGTAGCCACTTAAGAGCTGAGGGCATGACTGTGATTCTGTGGCCAACATTTCTGAGACTCCAAGGACAGGACCAGCTGGTGCCCACACCTCCCTAAGCCAAGCCCCTGGCCCAGCAGCCCGGTAAAGCAGTGACATATGACCCTTCCTCCCAGCTAAGACAGATACAAACAATGGACATCCTAATCCTTCTAGGTGCACCAACACCCAGGGACCACCAGTACCACCAACAAGGAAAACCAGGAGCAGAGTCCACTAGAAACACAAAGAGCAGAGACAGGGCAGGGCCTGACCTGACACAGCACAATTGAAGAAGGGGCCAGATATGTGCGGCAGAGAGAAGGGGACATATCTGATTTGGCTCAACACAGTAAGCCAACATCCAATGCTCAATCCACGTTTGTGACAGAACATGCTGGTTTAGAATCTTCACTGAAAGAAATCCTGTCCTCTAAGCTCAAGCTGCTCCCAGTCTATTCAGTGGATGGGCACTTACTTACCTCAGCCTGAAAACACATGATTTATATCTACTTGTGGAGTCCTAGTGTGGCGCTGTGGGTTAATGCGCCAAACTGCAAAGCTGTTTGAACTGCAAGGTTCAATCTCACCAGTTGCTCCTCAGAAACCTTATACGGGGTCGCTATGGATCGGAACCGACTCAACAGCACTTCACAACAATATTATCTACTTATTGACTAGTCAATGGCCTCAGGCTGGGATCTACTGTTCATCATGATACCCCCACCATCTAGAATAAAAACCCAAAAAGCAAATTAAACCCTGTTGCGGACCATGTAAGACTGGTCAGAGGTTCGAGGCCCTATAGGCCCGAGTGTAACAAATGAGGCCACTGGCAGTTAATGGCAAATTGCTTTCATCTTAATATTATTACATGTATTAATTTAATACACGGAGCTCTTGGTAATCCACAGATAAATGTGATATTTTCCTAAAGCTAAGACTAAAGTTTGCAAGGTCAAGCCTTTCTCCAAAAGGATTAACTAAAAATATTTTAGCTACTTCTCGGTTCTTTGCTCTATAGACAAAGAACCCATCCTCCCTAATCCCTTTTCCAGGTGCAGCCCATTCACCCTGGGCGTCTCCTGCAGAACACTCACCTTCCCCCAACTGACCTCAGGGGCTATAGATATGTTAATTGGGCCTGAGAATCCAAGTTGCTGGCCTGGGATTCGAACCAGCGAAGTATGATGTAAAGTTACCTGAATGTCTGGAAAAGTACTGATGTTAGCTGTACCTTGCCTAAGTCCCTCCCAGCTTGGTGTGAAACTCCTCCCCTAAATAAAGCAGAGGCCCGGGCCTCCCCAGGTGTGCATTACTGGTTGGAAGGCTTGCAGTAAAGATTATGGTGCATTACTGGTTGGAAGGCATGGAGTAAAGATTGCAGGGCAGTGAGTTGCCTGCAGAGGCCATGATGCCTGTAGTCCCAAGCCTGCCCACCAGTGATGTATCCACCCTGGCTTTGGGGTGCCTCATTGTCTCCCTTCTTCTGTTTGTCTGTGTATTCTTTCGCTATCCCTATCGCCGCTGGATCTCCCCTCCTCGTGAACCAAATCCTGGTGAACCGCACCCCTATGTCGAGGCGGGTCCCCAACAAAACCCCCCATCATTCTGACTCCTAATGACCCTATGTTGTTGTTGTTGTTATGTGCCATGGAGTCGGTTCTGACCCATAGCGACCCTGTACAGGGTTTCCGAGGGTGTAAACCTTTACGGGAGTAGAAAGCCTCATCTTTCTCCCGCGGAACAGCTGGTAGTTTTGAACCGCTGACCTTAAGGTTCGCAGCCCGATTCGTAACCACTACACTACCAGAGCTCCTTTAATGACACTATATGGGGGTTCAAAGACTGTAAATCTCTATGGGAGCAGAAAGCTTCAGCTTTCTCCCAAGGAGTGGCTGGTAAGTTTGAACTACTGACCTTGCAGTTAGCAGCCTAAAAACCCATAGCTCCATCAGGACTCCCAAAAGCAAAAACATTTGATTCCGAATCATAGAGACACTGCACAGCGTTTCCAAGACTACAAATCTTTACGGGAGCAAACAGCCTCATCTGTCTCCTGTGGAACTGCTGGTGGGTTTGAACCACCCACCTTCAGATTAGTAGCCCAACACCTAACCAGTAGCATTACCAGGGCCCCTTAGAATATAAGATAAATATACAAAAGTCAATATTATTTCTAAACAATAGCAATGAATAATACATGGACACGGAATTAAAAGTGCAATATCATTCACAATCACTCAAAAAAATGAAATACTTAGGTGTAACAAAACATGTGCAGAATTTGTATGCTGAAAACTACAAAGGCTGATAAAAGAAATAAAAAATTGAAATAAATGAAAAGTCATACTATGTTCTACAAAACAAGTATGTATATATATATGTATGTTATTGTCATTGAGTTGGTTCCAATTCATAGAAACCCTGTATAGGATTTCCAAAGAGTAACTGGTGGCTTTGAACCACTGACCTTGAGGTTAGCAAGTCCAGTGCTTATCCTACAGCATCATATAAGGACTCCTTATATAACTACTACTTTGCTGTGTGACCTAGGACAACAGATATGACCTCTGTGAGCCTCTATTTCCTTGTCTTTAAAATGAG